CCCTCCCAGCGTCAGAGGATCTGAATTCAGGCACGCTGTGCTGTAAGTTGCGTGCAGGAGCGTCCCAATGGAGTGAGACAGGCAAGGCTAAGAGTTGCTCCCGAACGCAACTGAAACACTGAATGATGGACGAGGCTGTCCACACGGCCATGCCGTGTGGAGGCGGGGAACCAAAGAGGCAACGCGAGCGAGCAGCGGCTCCTTGGAGGGAGCGGCCCACAAGACCGGGCGGCACGTCAGTGGCCCACCCCCGCATGCAGCCGGCGCATGCGCCAATTTACAGCACGGGAGCGGCCATCCTGGCGCACCCCGTGCCGCGACCCCGGGAAAGGAGGAGACGAGAGGAGAAGGAGGACGAGAGAAGAGGCCCAGTGGAAACCTGAACGGCCGCTTCCGGCGACCTGGGCCCAGCAGGGCAGGGCGCCAAACCACTATAGTCTGACATTGACCGCCCAATCGGCCTCAGAGACAGTCGAGGATCTCTGGAAGCCCAAAATTCGGGCCTGCCACGCCGAGACCGTGATACGATCGAAGGCGGAGGCTGTGACACGATAGAAGGGCTAAAGTGTGCCGGCAAAATCTCTAGAGTGCCACAGGGCGCGCCACCGATTTGGGCCCGGCGGAGGGCCTCCGGTCTAGCACCGGAGCGTCCACCGACAAGTTCCCAGAATAGGTCCGGGAACGCAAACACCGGCGCCAGCGCCGGGGCCCAGCAAGGCCGCAATGCAAAACCGAGGGTGCGCGTGGGTGCCGGGCGGCTCCCGCCACGTGTGGGGCCCAACGAGCCTGGGACTCAAAATGTGCCACCCTGGGCGTTTTCAGAAACGATACCTTAGATGCCACCCCCGCGAAGGGGGCCAGCCACGAGCCCAGGGAGGACAGGGGACCACCGCACGACGACGACGACGACGAAGACGACAACAACGACGACGACGACGGCGGCGGCGGCGGGACGAAGACGGGGGAGGAGGGGAGGAGGGAGGCCAGGGGAGAGGAGGCGGGGGGAAAGGGGAAGGAACGGGGCGGCCCCCTGCCCACCAGAGCGCGGGGCCCCCAGGGGGTGGCTTGTGGCTGGCGCCGCCTGGCTGCCAGCCGCGGGGCTTTGGAGAGGAAGCTGCGCTGCCGTCGTATTCTACAGCTGGTCTGGCCGAGATCAGGAGGAGGAGGAGGAGGAGGAGGAGGAGGAGGAGGAGGAGGAGGAGGAGGAGGAGGAGCGGCAGAAACAACCGGGGGCAAGAGAGACTGAACTGCCTGACTGTTGCGCTCCACGCAACAAATAAAATACAGATGGCGACCCCGCGCGTGGCCTCACGAGAGCTCCCGCGCCTTCTGCCGCAAAGCGCTCCGGCACGCCTCTGGGGGGCACGCCCCGGCGTGTCTTGTCCAGCAATGCGTCAGGTAGACACTGCAAGTCAGACGCGCGCGGCGCTGCAGCTCCCCCGCAGCAGCCGCGCTCCAGGCTGGCTCCAACAGCACGAACCTCGCGAGCCTGGAATGACGGGTGGCGGGGCGGGCCAACCCGAAGTGCGTCGCGGCGGCGGCCGCGACCCAGCGGCACTCCGAGTAGTGCTCGATGGAGTCCTCGCCCCCCGCGCATCCGAAGACGCATGCGGCATGGCCTTGGAAGCGGCGCGCGGTGATCCACCCGTTCCAGAGGGAACGCAGGCACGCCGCAAAAACGCGGGGCGGCACCGCCCGGGACACGGCCGGGTACGTAGCGAGCGCCCTGTCGGCCATCTCCTGCACTGTCATGCCGCATAGTCCGCTGCATCGCTGCGTGAACCTCCAATGCAGGAAGTTGCGCAGGCCCTCGGCGGCGCTCGGGGCGATCAGCCGGACGCAGGTTCGTTGCCAGACCCTCTTCTGCGCGGCGACGTCGGCAGCCCCGGTGGCCGCCGCAATCTGGCGTGGCCGGAGATTCCGCTCCTCAAAATGCACCCGGGCCGCTTCCAACTGAAGCACAAAAGCCTGCTCAAACTAGGGAGCCCACAGTCCCAGACGATCGACTGGCTGGTCCGAAAACAACTTCTCGCGCCGGAGCTGCGCTGCCCGGGCCTCCACGCGCAGCCCGCCTTCGGCTGCTGCCTCCCACTGGCAGACGCGAGCCTTCGCTGCCAGGGCAACTGAAGGTAGGTCTGGAAGGCCCGCTGGGAACCCCATGAGGGGCAGGCCGTGGAGCGCCGAAGGCGGGGCCCATCTGCTCGGACCTCGGCACAGCGACTGCAGCGCAGCTGCCTCCAGGCGCGGCCACGAGGCCGGCGGCGCGTCCAGCTGCGCGAGGAACGCCTACGTCGAGAAGGCATATGCAGAGTATGCCACGGTCTGGGCGAGCATACCACCGCCAGAGAGGCCCCAGTCCCGAGCGCGTTCCTATTACGACCTATGTTCACTGCGGGAAGGGCCCCGTCAGAAAACAACTGTGTGGAAATCCTCAACCGTGCCATAACACCACTCTTGAGACTTCACCGACGCGAGCCAACGCTACTGTTGCAACCGGATGGTCCCAAGTCGTGCTAGAACACCGTTCCTGGGACGTCATCGACACGAACCAACGGGCGTGTCGCACCCTCACAATCACGAGTCGTGCCAACGCACTTCATGGGACGCCAACCGCAAAAAAAAACCCTTGAAACTGTTACAAACAATCAAAGCGAATGTGCGAGGCACTCGAACAAAAAACACATTTTGAGAATCAGCCACTTTCCGCCGTGAGCGTTTTGCTAACTTCTGAAACGAATGTTCTCGGCGCTGGGGCGAGAATCGCATTTTGAAAACGACCCGCGCAAATTTTCAAACCGAACGTGCGCGGCGCTCAGGCGAGAACCACTTCTTGAAAACGAACCGCCCTCCAGCAGCGAATCTGTTGCAAATTTCAAGCTTCAGCATCATATGTGGTCAAGAAGACTGAAGCGAAACGCCTGGCCCGCCCTACCGACCCGTCTTGGGGTGCGACAAGGATGATTTTTTCTCAAAGTGAAGACGGAGGGGGAAGGGAACAAAGTAACGCGGAGGAGGGGGAAGACTTAGGTGAAATAGATCAGCGACACGGAAGGGAAATCCAGCTCGACTTCAAGAAAAAGGCGAGGCCGCCTTTATGCCGCGACTTTCGGCAACGAATTAACAACACTCAGTGCCAAAAACAGTCCAGCGCGTGCAAGCCCACGGACGGGAACCACATACAGTATTAGGAAACCCGTAGCCCATATGCAGTACCAGGAAGCACCCACATCGTGGAAGAATACGTTGCTGGACGAAATGAGCAGCACTGGGAACATGACGAACAGATCAGCGTGGAAACCGAGCACACACACACACTACATGAACTTGGCGCAGGACAGCCTCCAAATCAACACGGTCCCATGAATTCCTCATCTGATGACTCGCCGAAGTCGTCGCCACTGAAGCCACTTGAACAGTGGCGAAACAGAAAACTCCTCGATATCCTTGAAGGCCGAATGCAAGGCCTTCCCCACGAACGGCAGAAAGGTTCTGCGGAACCCTAAACGGCGCAACGAGAGGACGCGGCGATCTCCTTTCTCTGCGGCTCCGTGCTGCTCGAGGCACTGTGGCAATCCGCAGCGACGAGCTCCTTCAGGGCGAAGCCCTGCAGAGCCTGCGAGTCCGCCTGCACATGCTCGCTCCCTGTCTCAGAGCCGTCTGCCGCAGAGAGAAAACCCCCAAAGCTGTATGCTGGGAGGCGGCCTCATCGAGGTCCGCCGGGGCTTCCGTCGCGGCCGCAGTCTCGCAACAAAAACCTTCCACGGGGACGAACGACCGGACGAAAACGGGCTCTCGTGCAGCCCGAGCCTCAAAAAACCGCCCATGCTGGGCGCTGCGCAGCTCTTCTGGCCTCGCCGTCGCCGCGTTGACTGCCGGACAGCTCACTGAGAGCTGACATGGTTTCAGATTAGAGACAGGCAGCGCAGGGTAGTCCAAGGGTTCTTTCCGGCGTCGGGCAAGGAACCTCGCGCCGGCGCCTGTGAACTCGCACCGTGGGCCGGAAGCGTTTTCGAACTCGTTCCCAATGCGTTGGCCGTAAGCATTTCCGCAGCCATTTTGAAACGCTTCGGGAGCTCCTACGGAGCTCCTCTCAAGCTTCTCAGACATCCTTTCACGCGTCCCACAGTCGGACCTAGGGAAGCAGTGTCCTTCGAGAACATGAAACCCTCCGCCGGCCAAAAGGAAGAGCATTCGAGGGTACCCCCCTCTGGATGCACAACACCATCCAACAAACACAACCATATCAGGGTACCCTCCTCGGGCCGACCTCGATCTTATACCTCGGTCCGACTGTAGCAGGCATCTTTCGCAAAGTTTCTCGCGGCTTGGACTGCACCGCAATCCCGATTGTGGACGCCACAATTGCCTTGCTGAGCCAGCGTGGAAAGACACGCTGCGGCGGAGAGCCTCGAACCACGGGGACTTCCTCCATGCCAAAATCGCCTGCAGGGCCGGCTGGCAGACCCGCGAGAACTTTTGCGACCGCCTCGAGATGGCGTTGTCCGCCGACCAGCGCGCTCAATCACGACCAGCCTTACGCTACGCCGCTGAGCGCCTCGGCGCGCACTCCGCGCCGTCTCGTACAACTATCTCCCAAGAAGTGGCAATCAACCTCCAACAATTCCAATTCTGGCGCTCCAAAAGCAACCAGCTTGAGCAATAGGGTCGTCGCTCGCTGATGAACGGCTTGAGCCCAAGTGGCTTGAGTCAGAAAAAAAAGGCTGAGGCGGAGGAGGGCGGAGGAAAAAAAAGAGGAAAAGGAGGAGGATGAGGAAGGCGGAGGAGGAAAAGGAAGGTGGAGGAATATGACGATGACGATGACGACGACGACCACGACGACGACGACGACGACGACGACGACGATGATGATGATGATGATGCTGATGCTGATGCTGATGCTGATGCTGATGCTGATGATGATGATGATGATGATGATGATGATGATGATGATGGGAATGATGGTGATGACGATGCTGCTGCTGATGATGTTGGTAGGAACAGGAGGAGAACCATTGTAAATCCAAGACTCATCAACGATGTTTGAATCATCTGTCTCTCCAAGCTCCCTCTTCAAAGGACCCTAATAGTTTTCATTTCCGCTGAAGGAAGTTCCCCGTTGGCAGACAACCGATTTAAATTTATGAAACGTGCCAAAACACCATGCTCACGACCTCAGCGCCGCGATTCACCCTGAATGTTAGGTGTTTGCGATTCTGAACTGCGCCACAACACAATTCTTGGGACTTCGACGCCGCAAACCAACGTAACTGTTGCGCCCTGACAGTCCTGAATGCTCCCAAATACGTTAGCCATGAGAAGCCATGAAGCGCTTGGAAACACAAGCACGAATGTTCGCGACGCTAAGGCGAGAGCTACATTTTGAATACGTTACCCTGGCGAAAGACCCAACCATATGCAGGTGTGGGTACTGCAATTGTGAATATCTTCTTCGGTGGAGTTCCCTTATGCGGCCACGAATCGCTGCACTGGGTGGGGGGGAACGCATGCGGGCGGTAGCACTGGGGCCGTCGGTGGAGCTCCCAGTGGGGCCACGAAGCGCTGTATTGGATTTGTGAAAATGCCAAATTGCGTGTGTGGGACGCATGCGACGGTCCCACTGGGGGCTTCGGTGAAGCTCCCAATTGGGGCACGAAGCGCTGTACTGGGTGGGTGAAAATGCCAAATTTAATTTCGGGGGGCGCATGTGGGCGGTCCCGCTGGGGGCTTCGGTGGAGCTCCTAATGGGGCCACGAAGCGCTTTACTGGGTGGGTGAAAAGCCAAATTTGGTGTGCGGGACGCACGCGGACGGTCCCACTGGGGGCTTCGCTGGACCTTCCTATGGCGCCAAGAAGCGCTGTACTGGGTGGGTCAAACTGCCAAATTGGGTGTGTGGGACGCATGTGGGCGGTCCAACTGGGGGCTTCGGTAGAGCTCCTTATTGGGGCCAAGAAAAACAGTACAAGGTGGGTGAACATGTCAAATTGCGTGTGCGGGACGCATGCGGGCGGTCCCGCTGGGGGCTTCGGTGGAGCTCCCCATGGGGCCACGGAGCGCTGTATTGGGTGGGTGAAAATGCCAAATTGGGTGTGCGGGGCGCATGCGGACGGTCCCATTGGCCACGAAACGCCGTACTGGGTGTGCGGGACGCATGTGGTATCCCCCCCCCTTGGGGCCTTAGGTGGAGCTCCCCATGGGGCCACGAAGCGCCGTACTGACGCATGTGGTACCCCCACCCTGGGGCCTTAGGTGGAGCTCCCTATGGGGCCACGAAGCGCCGTACTGGGTGTGGCGGACGCATGTGGTACCCCCCTCTGGGGCCTTAGGTGGAGCTCCCTACGGGCCACGAAGCGCCGTATTGGGTGTTGCGGACGCGTGTGGTGCCCCCCCTCTGGGGCCTTAGGTGCAGTTCCCTATGGGGCCACGAAGCGCCGTATTGGGTGTTGCGGACGCATGTGGTACCTCCCCCCTGGGGCCTTAGGTGGAGCTCCCTATGGGGCCACGAAGCGCCGTACTGGGTGTGGCGGACGCATGTGGTACCCCCCTATGGGGCCACGAAGCGCCGTATTGGGTGTGGCGGACGCATGTGGTACCCCCCCTGGGGCCTTAGGTGGAGCTCCCTGCGGGGCCACGAAGCGCCGTATTGGGTGTGGCGGACGCATGTGGTACCCCCCCCTTGGGGCTTTAGGTGGAGCTCCCAATGGGGCCACGAAACGCTGTACCGGGGGGGGAGGAGGGAGGAGGGGCAGGAGGGGCAGGAGGAGGAGGAGGAGGAGGAGGAGGAGGGAGTGAGTGAGTGGGTGGGGCGCGGGGCGCTGTGTCTTCAAAACGAGGACCCAACACCACAGGATGGTTGGGAAAAAACACAGCCCTCGATATGTGAAGCTCTTATACATGTTTGGAACGAAAAGTGCGCGGCGCTAGAACGGGAACAACATTTGGGTAGAAACGCCCTCAATTTGCGAAACTCTTGCAAACATGGCACCCAAGCGAAGAACACAACTTCAAAACGACCCGCCCTCAATCCGTGATGCTCTTGCAGCTTTTGCAACGCATGTGCGCGGCGCTCAAACCAGGTCCACATTTTGAACACCACCCGCCCTCCATTCGGGCCGGGCGAAAGGGGGGGATAACAAAAAAGGGGTTTGAGAGTCAGCTCACGTAGCTGATTTTCCGGGCGCCTCCCGGCGACGGAGGCGGCTATGTATCGAGGAATGGGCCCTCGGTGGGGCCGAAACCAGCTGCATGCAGCAAATTTCGTAACCCCCCCTTT